TTTTTACTTTAAAAATACTGTAACTAAAAAAAATATGCCAACTGCACTAAGTAATGAATAGCTTGAAGAATCTAATTATGTTACCTATAAAGAAATTCGCAAAACTAACACAACCGTCAACGATGTCTGCCCTCACGTGTCTACAGTAGACGCGACGCGTAATAGCTTACTGCCTTGCGTCAAGATAATCGTGATAACTTTTAAACAATTCGTCCAAATTACTTAGTGTTCTGCAGAGGCTTCTGAGATTTCATGAAGATTAGACAAGTCTTCGTGTTGGTTGACGATTGTGATGTCATTAGCATACCAAATACAATTTTCAAAAGTTGGTGAATAATGTCAGTTATATAAACTATAAAGGCCAGCGAGCCTAGGACGGAACCCTAAGAAACACCACGTTTTGTACATCCGAAATCTAATCGTTCATGAAAATCACTTTTTTCCTCTTCTGTAGATATGATTCAATTAAATTCAATGGAACAACGCGTGTACCATGAAAGTTGACTTCCTTAGAGGATATCATGACAGACACAAACGAAAGTGATCTTTATACATATACTTTCGGGTGCGAGCCCCTCTCAAGCTCTTCGATAATACGCTACTGTAGAATTGTTGAGCATCCTGGGTGAAACCCAAATTGTCCATCACCCAGGGTGTTGTGTTTCCAGAAACATGACATCAAACATCAAACGTTCCTTCAGTCGTGTTTCACAAAGTCTAATGATGAAACCGCTTTTTTCTCAAGGACAAAACACAAGCACTACAGGAAAATCCTTAGGGCGCTCTAAGAGCGGTGCCTGTGCGAAAGTAGTGATTCACATTGGATTTGAATCGCTGGAGATTAATTCCATTTGGAGAAATATTCTCAAGAAGTTTATTCCACATAAACGCAGTTCTCCAAATTGAAAAGTTCTTAAACAGTGGATTTCGAGGTGTACTAAATCGAACGATCCGTCGCGTATTTCTGATATATACCGTTCTTGGTGGACTCAAATGTGCCAAGTCACTTGAACACTTTCCGTGACATATAGAAGAGAGGCAAATCCCCAACCTTTCTTCGATGTTCCAGACTATCTAGGTTGCAAGTGACGTTTGCGTCTCCAATCAGGCGGGTGGCTCTCCTCTGCCTGGAATCCAGCAGCTTCAGGGTATGCTTAGGGGCGGAGCTCCGTATATGAAAACATCAAAAGTTGCTGGTGAGTGTAGTTTTCTGGTTCGGAACATTGTTCCAAGCTTTTGAAAAGCATCTTTTGCAATTCTAGGGACATGATTGTGCCAAGGCATATTGGTGTCCATTTGAACTTCAATTGTCTGTCCTGTCATTATTATATCCGGTTAGGAGACATTTATCTTTTTGGAGATGGAGATGTGGTTGGATGGGAGCCAAAATACACCATATTTCCCTAAGCAGGATGATATCTCTGTCCGGGGCGACTGTACCTATAAATCTGCAACAGACTCTGAAGGTGTTTTTGGCCCAAACACTGTATCGGTAAACATTTCAAAAGTCTCTTTCTTATCTTCCTAAAGCTGTTTCATCTGTGGCAGCATTCAACTGACATTTGACTACCGATGAAATATTTTGGAAAGGTATATTTTTCAAGAATACGTCTATGAATAACTTTAGATGAACTGCAATGGGAAATTATTCATCATTTTTGGCTTATTTTATTCTAAGAGCCATGTTACACATCATGCAGTTTTGTTTTCCGTTACAGGTTGCAAGAACCCATGATTGGGTGAGAAAATTGAAGATGATTCTATATATGTAATCTGACTGATGAATTGATCAAATATCATACATATAGGAAACAGAAAAGTTTTTAATAATCGAAATATGCAATTTTATCGATGAGAACAAAATCCGAATTGGTGAGCCGTGGCTGAAGGGAACCTGAGGTACCAAAGGTTTCGTCTGCCACTGCGACATACATCATCAGTGTAATGGTACATTTGGTACTTCAGGTTCCATTCTACCAGGTCCTACAAGCTCTGATTTTTCTCTTTGTAATCATGATTCCGGCAGTGAAAGCCCTTGTTTATACGGGGCTATTCAAATTCGTTTCTGTACATGGGGATCTCGTAAACGATAAGACATACAGTGTCGGTTAAATTGTGGCAAAGTTGCGTATTTCAGAGACCTATTCAATGATGTAAAAAAATATACAGGAGATATACAGGAAAAACCAAAAAATCCTCAATTATTTTTTTGACTATATCTTCTTTATTCTCAGACATATTGAAAATCTGTATTTATTTTGCTATTGGCACTTGATGTGGGCTATCAGAATATGCCCATGAATCTTTTATAAAGGGTGTTATCTGATTTGGGCCACCCCCATCTTTGAATTTTTAAATACGAACCTGTATTTTTTGTTGTTGTTTTTGGGTCGTAGACGTTCACTTCATTCTGANAAAATACGCAACTTTGCCACACTTTAACCGACGCTGTATCTCTTATCGTTTACGAGATCCCCATGTACAGAAACCAATTTGAATAGTCCTGTATATATAAGATGTCTCCGTTTCAATTGAAATATTTTTTTTGATTTCAGTGGTCTTCTTATATGAATTTTTTGTTCCCATCATTTGGCTAAGCCTGATTTTATAGGAGGAAAAATATGTGCAAAAGGAAAGGAAAGAATAAAAAGAGTATGTGCAATAGTGCAATATTATATTTACTATTTACAAATATACAGAGTGGTGTCCATTTCCAAGATAGAAGAAACACAGGTCGAGAGCCCAAAGAATATACACAGTGCTTCCACTTCCTCCACTTACCGTTGGTTTGAGGTCGAAACAACTATCTGCTCTTAATATTTCCTTCTCCCGGAGGATCGAGTCCTTTCTACTCGGGAACAGTAATTTATAAGGCAGTTCGTAGTTGACAGTTGGAAGCATAAAGTCAGAGGTCATTTCCAGAATGCTGTGACTTCCAGTATCAACTAACAGTCTGTTGCACTCTGCAGTAAATTGATTTGTGCAATTGGCAATGTGCACAAGTCTATATGCATCCATCTGGCCGCTGACGGTGTGGTACTGATGACACAACTGATGGCCAGAAAAGCTTGTCTCTGTAAGCCAGAGACCCGCGCCTGGGCCGTAATCTGTAAAGCCTTCGGCCACTAGGCAATTGCACCATTAGTGATCATTTGTCATAAGATCATCACATACATCCAATGGATTTGTTTGGGACCTAAAACCCAAGTTTTTCCACAACTCCTTCGGCATGTCCATAGGGACAGTCTGGCTTTGTGTAAAACTTTTTCTAAGTGAGCGTTCCAGGTGAGTTTTTTATCAAGGTCAATGCCAAGAAATTTCACCTCCGTTCCAAATGGAATGACCTCACCATTGAGGGAAAGTGGCGTGTCGAATTTTCTCCTCCTGGTGAAGGGGATTATCACAGTTTTGCTGGAGTTGACAGACATCTGCTCCCTCAGGCACCAACTGTGAACAACTTCCAACATGCTTTGGAGGATATTACAAGCTACCCTTCCCGATGTGCCAAGATGACAAGGTCATCTGTATAAGCCTGCAGATCTACTTTTCTTCTGTAGAGGGCATCAAGTAGACTATCCATCAGGAGCGACCACAAAAGGGGATATAGTACCCTACCTTAAGGGCAGACCCTGGTGACCCTGAACCTAATGGCGTCGTCTTGAAGAGTCGTAGTTGCAGTTCTGTTTACCAACATGGTACAAGTACATGGTACATGATACTAGTAAGTAACATTCGATTACAAAGTCAATGAAGTAAGTCTAAGGGAATTCTGGATGTTCATGATTTTGAAATTATGAGAAGGATTTACAAGAAATTTTTCAATGCAGCTTGGCAAAGATAATCCACTGTGAAATTAGTTGTCATTCATCCAGTCTATTTTTTCGAATCACTATGGACGGATATAACATTTAACAACTCGTGCGAATAATAAAATTGTTTTATCAAAATTAGGCAATGTACAACGCTTCGAACATTTTACGGTCGCCATAATCGTCCTATCGAGAGGACTGTTCACGATGTGGTAGATAAATTTGAGTCCACTGATTCAGTAAACGATCGACCAACACCGGTACGTCGTTTAAACGCAAGATCTGCCGAAAACATCGCCGTTGTCTGTGAGAGTTAACAGGAGAATTCGATTGTCGAAGCATCGTGAAAAAGTCACTCTTTGGTATGGATTTTCGAGATGACGTCATAGGTTCATATTTCTTAACGAAGTTGGCCAGGCTATCACTGTCAACGGCGAGCACTGTAGGTCGATGAATAGCAACCTCTTTTGGCCCGAATTGAATGATCTGGATACCCACGACATGTGGTTTCAACAGGACGGCGCTATGTGCCACACAGTTTATGCCACATTGGATATTCCTAACGAGCGATTTGAGAGCTTTGTCATCTCACGTGGTGGTGATATGAACTGGCCACCGACATCGTGCGATTTGGCCCCGTTAGACTTATTCTTGTGGGGTTTTCTTATGTTGCAGGTGTATAGGAATAAGCCACAAACCACAGCGGTCCTCAAAGCCAATATAACACATGCCGTCGGTCAAATTAAGCCTGATTCATGCGCCAGAGTCATGGAAAATTGAACTTTTCGGATGCGCTCCACCCAGAGAAGCCGTGGCGGACATTTGAACGATGTTATATTCCATGCATAATCGGATAATAGGTCTTTCAAACGAATAAAAATTTGTAAAAATACCTGTCGGATATAATTTAACATCCTAATAGTAGTTTTTCGGCAGGCATTTGCTGGATCCTGAATGTAGGAACGTTGAAAGAGGTGACTGTTTTTAATTTCATTCGGAATATTCATTCTTTTGATTTCGAAATACTGGGCGGCCTCAAATTATCGTTTTCAATATGACAGAGAACTATAGTGTTTATAGCTTCTAGTCATCATGTGCTACAGTGACACCATTTCACATAATACATTACATCACAACTTTCACCCGAATTACATTTGTCGTTAAATCCACAACAATATCTCACAGCTTCGACTAGAAACTCACCTTCTTGCATGGTCCTTTACATAACTGAAGCCCACAAGACAAATGAAGCCTGTCTCTGTCTGGAAATTTGAAAGCTGGAAATCTGGAAACGGCTTCCTGGTGTCTCATCAGAGCTATTGGTCTGATAGGCCCGTATGTTAGTTCTGGCATCAGAAGTTCGTCAATGGGACACCCTTGCTCGTCGAGAAGCTTTTGAGAGGAATCTCCCAGGCCATCATGGGCGAGACAATCAACTACTCTCCAACCGATACCAGCTGAAACGCAAAAATGTCAGTTCATAATATCGAAAAAAAAAATGGAATAATAATTGCAATTCCAGAGGAGGAACTGGTATATGTGGAAAATTTCTATTTCAATAATTTTTATTGTACTCTAACAGACTCTTTTCCAAAATATTTTCCAGATGGAAAAATACCGTACTTTAGAGACAAAAATAGAGTTTCTAGGTTACAAGTGAGCTGAGATCTGGAATAATGTGAAATCGTCAAGATTCCATCTACACAAGATGGACGGCTAATGAGATCGCCACTTTCACCAATCATAGTCAACATGAATACATGGAATGGTTTGGAACTTTGAATATTGAGGAAATCCACATGTAGCCCTAGATTTGGTTGGAATACGATGACGACACCTTCATAGTATGAATTGTTGTTTCCACATGTGATGGCAAAGAGTACCGACAACAAGTTTTGAATCGTTCAGAATGATCTGCATCCAGTCTCTGTGGCATAGAGATAAATTTTAACAAGGAAGTGAGTCTCATTTGAAAAAAGCCTCAACAGAATGCTTGTTAAACAGACGTTATCCAGAAGACAAGAGCCTCGCATGATAGATAAGTCGTCAAAACTAAGCTATGTCTGTCCTCAGAGGTTCATCGGAGAAGATAAGGTCTGCTTCAGATCCTGTAGCAGCCTTGGAAAAGCCAAACCACCAAAAATTCCAAATATTCTATTTACCACACACCATGTGAATGCGGAAGTCATATCGGCGAAACCAAGAGGACATTGTGAATTCGTTTTACAGAGCACAAGAAAAATATACAGGATAATTGATGAAATCGAAGCATACATAGTATTAGGTGGCCCCAAGCTGAAATTATCCACAGAAGAAAAAACTTTGAATTGAAGAAAAGTATGAAAAATTGCGTGCATACCGAGAGTGTCATAATAGTCGAAATATCGAGCAATAACTTTTCTTTTCCACCACTATTTCTCATAATTTGTATCGTTTGCATATACAGAGTGTGACTGAATAAGTGTAAAACATTTAAGAAGGTGATTCCTCATCGTAAAAAAGATAGGATCTTTCATTTAGGAAAACTCCATTGGAGCATTCCTTGTTGAGATACAGCCCCTCAAAAAGGGGGTACATAAAAGTTGTATAACAATTTTTTTCACAAGTACTGGAAAAGTTACAGTATTGAAATTAACCTGACGTTTTGAACTACCAAAAAGACACTCTGCCAGTAATTTATTAGGTTTACCCCATGGTTGTAAGGGTTGGAAAACGCAACCCCTAAAATTTATTTCCGATGTAACTTTTTGTCTTATCATTTGTTTACCATTTAAAAACTTATTTCCGATAGCCTGTTTCATTCTAAACAAAAAATGTCTCTTGGGTTTAATGGCGAAACATGTGTTGCGTGAAAATTGTTTAGTGAATATCTCACAATAAAGTATTTTCTAAATACGTTACTAAGTTTTTATTTGTTATGACTGGTTTCGGTTTGTTAAACTATTTTCAACTAAACTTGTTTACTCGAAAGTTTCAAGTTTACTTGAAAATGGTTCAACAAACAAAACTGGTCGTACCTAACAAATGAAAACTTAGTAGAAATCAGACAAAAAGTATTTTCTTCATCCTATATTTAATATGAATTTCTACATCAATCAAAACAATGTTCAGCATTAAATATCTCAACCTCAGACATAACTAGCCGATATTTGTGTAGAGACTTTTCCGTAATTTTATTTATATCGTCATGCAGACCTCCCAGCAAGTATAGGAGGAACCTATGAACATCTTGTTGTGTATTACTCAAAGAACATGGTAAATTTTGAGGTACTGCAGATGATGCAGAAAAAAATATTTGAAAATTACCAGGTAACGTTGATTTAACAGTGAGCGTCGCTGTCTCTCCAACCTGTAGAGTTTCCGAAGATCTATCTTCAGCCTGATCAGAAACAATCTCCATCCAAGCTCTAGCTGCTGACAGAGCTTCGTTCAGTTCTTCCTCTAACTGTCTTCCCTCCAACTCTTTAGACCATCCAGCATCTCTCATTCTTCCGACCCTACAAATATGTGAGAGGTTGGCAACTACAAAGTATTTGTTGATAATATGTTTTTATGTGAAGAGGTGATTTTTGGAACCTTTTTGAGAATATTTCCTGTTTCCTACACAGGTCGATTTGCCGTCTCATCTATTCTGAAACAATACTTAGACAATTCTTCAAAATTTTTACTATGACATTGTAAATACACTGGGATGTCTTCATGAAACCAGATGATTTTTAGACAAATATTTGTTAAATTACTACATTGAAAATTAGAAAAACATTGAAATATGAAATTTCAGATTTTTCACAATTATTTAATATTACCATTGCAGATGATTTTTTACTTGAGAAATCACATAAATATCGACAAAAAGTTAATGTATTATAAAGGTATTGACCAATACAATAGTTTACTAATCAATATCAACAGAAACATTGAAAAGGAAGGTATGTTCACGTATAGTGTGGGGGCATACTTGAAGACTGGCTGTATATTAAAGTATATCTAAAAAAACATTTCATTCAGGTCAGTCTCAAGTCACCTACACTGTAGATTAAAGGACTGGCAACTATAAAAATAACAACTAATCTCCTGGCTAATACCACGAAGGGCGTTGGATTTTATCAGTCCAGTCAAGGACTTTTCACAGAAGCAATTCCTGCGTATGCTGTTCGCAGTACAATTGCCGAAATCAATTTTCTATTAGTAGAACAGGCATACTTGCAGACCGGCTTGCAAGTGTGTCAGTCTGTTAACATACAGTGTAGGTGAGTTTAGAGTGGCCTGAACTAATTTTTATTTTGGATAATTTGAAGGAAAGTATGTTTCAAAACAGTGTTAAGAAAATAATGAGAACACTCTTCGTTCACCATAACAAAAATGCTGTCTGTCGAGGTGCGTTTCGCTTACCAAGTTACTATCATCAGGAGATTACTAAAACTACTATCATAAGCTATGTATGTTAATATTTTTACATGCATCTAGACGAGTCATTACTTTGCATAAAGAGGGTGATCAAATTAATTACTAGTATTCTGTTATTGTCCTATTGCCTTTTACTCCTCACTGATATCCAATCTTTACCTTTTTTTGACCTGTGATCACATATGAGTGCGAATAATGGGCTATTAGAAATAGGACCTTCATTACCATTCATAGATCTTATTCCACATTCTTCGATTTCTAAACTTCAAAAGGCATCTAAAAACTCACTGTCATGTACCAGTCTCAACAATTTCAAGCATTCTTCACTTAAACTGCTCGTACACAAGTGTTAAAGCGGATTTACATCAAACGGAATCGCTTGCAACTAGTTAAATTTTCAAAAACAGAAACAAAAAACTTGTTTCAGTTTCGAAAACAAACTCGAAACTCCAATTTCACCAAAAAGACAAAAACTAGTTTGAGTCGCGTGTTTTGTTGTGAAATGTTTTCTTTTCTTTCCACAACACGAACATTTTTCATCATCCCTTCTCTAGGTGCTGAGATTTTTTTATTATTGAATCTCTTTTGGGCGAAAGAAGCGAAAGCGAAATTAAACAAGATACTAGATGAGATCATTGTTGAGAAGACGATCATCGTTTCGTAATTTTCTAAAATTGTTCAATCACGAACTTGTTTAATGTTCTGGGACCAAACATTTCCAAACAGAATACAAATTACGAATATGTTATATCTGAATAGTTGCTTGTTGTTGTCGCCGACCCAAAAACAATCGAAACCATTTGTTTTTTCCGCCTGTCGGCCGGACATTTCGTTGTTGACAAAAACAATCGCCCGCGACACAAATTCTACAAAATGTTTCATATTTTGACAACTTAAGTTTTCGTTTTGTCAAAATCGACACAGTGGTTGTTTTGTTGTGGTTTTGTTCGTTTGGTAGAAACCCGCCTTTAGGTAACCCGAAAGATAAAACGAAGAAAACGGAAAAGTCTAGGTTTTACGAAATAAGCCTAAAATAAAAGTTTAGGGTATATAATGCCACGGAAACTAATTCACCATAACCTGTGCCTATTTTATGTAATCTTGTCATACATTTTTAGTCCCAGCCTTGTGAACATCATCTTCTCGAAAACTTCAGTTGTATTCCAAAATTGCCAATTTCACAGCCAATCAAAATGGTGAATTCAATTTTTATATGGCAAATGTATTGGTACTTCTACTAACGGATGATTTTTTAAGAGGTATAGGATTTGATTTTCAAAACAATACAAACAATTTTGTAAAATTTGATGAAATCTTCATTGGATTCGATAGAACGATCAATATAAATGTTTGAAGATGATTTCATGCAAATATTGTCCGCGGCCACGCTTTAGATGGCCCATGCGCAAGTTCCAATTTTGGCACACTCTCTCTAACATATCGACCGGTATTTCACGTATAAATGCTTCACAAGAAATAATCCAAAGGCGTTAAATCACACGATCTAGGCGGCCAAATGACGGGCCCCAAACTGTTCACCGAAGGCGGCTCTTACTTGGGCCATTGTTTCGCGTGCCGTGTAGCATGTGGCACCGTCTTGTTGAAACCACATGTGAGGCATGTCCAATTCTTCCATTTTGGGCAACAAAAAGTTGTCAATCATCACACGGTAGCGCTCGCCATTCACAGTAACGTTCCGATCATTGTTGTCTTTGAAGAAGTACGGCCCGATAATGCCACCGACCCATAATCCACACCAAATAGTGACTTTTTTGGGATGCATCGGTAGCTCTTGCAATGCTTGTGGCTGGTCTTCACTCTAGATGCGGCAATTTTGCATATTAACGTATCCATTCACACGCTAAACACAATTTCCACATAAAAATGTGGATCTTCCTCCAACTTTGCCAGCGCCCTTTCACCAAATGTTAGACGTTGTGAGAGGTCGTGTGGCACCAGCTGTATCTTATAAGATTGTTCACCCAAATCCTTTCGCAAAATTTTCCACGTAGTGGAGTAACAGAGGCCCAATTGCTGCGAACGGCGGCGAATCGACATTTCACGGTCATCACGAACACTGGCGGATACAGCCGCAATAGTTTTTTCGGTCCTCACTCAACGTATGCGTGTTGGTGGTTTAATGTCCAATAATGTAAACTAGGTTCGAAATTTAGTCACAAGCTTCCGAATAGCTTCCTCAGTAGGCCGACGAAACTGCCCATAAATTGGAAGAAGTGCACGATGCACTTTTTTCACCGAGCATGAATTTTGATAATACAATTCAATAATTTGCAAGCGTTGTTCATTCGTAAGTTGATTCATGGTTAAATTACAGACCAAACTGAACAATGACACAAGACACGATTCACGCGTGATCTGTCAAAAACAGTGTTGCCAAAAAGATACCAGCAAAAAAATCATTCATTATATCTAATTGAATCTTAATGCAAATACCTTTCAAACATTCACAACAGTCAATTTCGTTCCGTTAGATATAATTGAAAACATGTGCTATTAAATAATAAATCGTCTTTATTTACTTATATGCCAACGGTTCACTTACGGTAATTTAACAAGTACTGTAATCCTAGTTATAATTTTTAACAATTGCGTAATACTCAGGCTCATAATTATTGCTCTTCACAATGACACCAAGTGAATGTCACGGTACTAAAACATAATCAACTGGTTTTTGCACCGAAGTCAATGAGTTTATGAACCTTTATAATTATTTCTTCGAGCCAAGCAACAAATTGTCCAGATGCTATACAAATCTACATATTTTTATTCTTTCCTCTAACTGTTACTAAAAATTGACAGAAGTCATTTATTCACTAGTTTAGTATGGTAATTCAGTTTATCAAACAGTATAGAATTAACAATGGATTATTCAACCATATTGTGAAAAATTTAGTGCCTTCTCATCAAGGAATACTAAAAAAATGCATATACCATGTCTGTTATGCATTAGTTTGTAGTTTTCGAGTTATGGAATTTTCGTCTAGACGGAATTCTTGTATTTTTTAAATTTTTTAATGGGTTTTTCAGAAATGTAATTTTGAAACCTGAACTACATGACTTATTTTTTCAACTATGAAATGATCAGTTCTCTAACGCAAGCTGCAAAATTTTTGATCAAACATGAATGATTTACCATCAATCAATGGAAAGTTGCACTTCAACTTTCAATTGAAAATTTTAAAAAGTATTCCGTACTTTTTAACTAATTTCAATCCTGAACTATCATTTAGATGGATCAAAAACACCTTCCGGTTCTGGTGCAAGTGTTTTCAGTCGCAGACCCAGGACAGAGATATCAACCTGCCTAGGAACCTATGCGACTGTATTTCAAGCGGAAATTTACGCTATTGAATTGTATGCAGAGATATTGGAAGAATCCAACCCCATACACAAGTCAATAAAAATATTCTCGGACAGTCAAGCGGCGTTGGAAGTTCTTGGCCCCTACCGAGCAAGGTCTAAATTGGTAGCAAAATGCCAAAAACGACTCTCCTCGATAGGAAGACTTAACAGATTGTACTTGGTCTGGATTCCTTGCCATACTGGACTAGAAAGGCAATAAGGCTGCTGACTCCTTGCAAAAGAGGGTGCTGCAAGCAGCTTCATCGGACCAGAAACATTGGCATCGCTTTATGCTTTGCCAAATAAAGGTTGATCACCTGGATGGCAAGAAGATTTATGGACTTCTGGCAGAATCTTCCAGGATTGGTCCACTCCAAGGCGTTTATTCACCCTTCGTGAATAAACAACAACAACTACTACATTAGGGATGAACTATGATGTCTAACAGGCCTTCTTACAGGTCACTGTCATTTGAATCATCATATGCAGAGACTCGGGACTGTCGGAAGACAGAGAGTCTCGCCTCTTACCTCTTACCCTCTCACCTCTTACCATCTGACCTGAAAGACCACTCACCATACAAACTAATCGGCTTCGTTAAGAAGCTGAGTTTATTCGGTCGATTGTGAATGGGTGTAAGCCCCAATAAACCCTTACGGGTTGCTGTGAAGGGTCGAATAGACCCACTCACTTTGCACCTGACTCAACCTAATCATTTAGATTTATAGTGTTGCCTATTTTGTTATTTCTAATAATAATTCGAGTAAGAACCATCTCAAAAAAACTTATTATTGGATGTCAAAACTTGGAATTTCCAGCATAAAAAAATTAACAAAAAAACTTACTGAACAGTGAGTCCACAACCAGCGTAATGCGAATCTAGAAGAGTTTTACAGTTCTGAGTGAAATAAGTATTTTTTTCAATAAACACTCAATGTCAATGAGAAGTCATTACACTAATACAGTTACTCTAGAATATTCTTCTCAATTCTGAAAAAACATTCGCTAACTTGAAAACTACAAAAATTCTTAGTATATTTGAATAGGTATATTCACAGTAGTTGTACATTGGGACTTGAAGTAGCATAATATAGTAGTTATTAGTAAGGCGTAACATTGCAAAACTTCATATATCCTGAACAAATGGACATAATTGAAGAGAAAAAATCCGGGCGGGTAGGCCGGACGAAGGTTATACCTGGAAATTTCAGCAACGACTAACTGGCGAGGTCCGTGTTCACTGTTACTTATAATTTTAGAGGGTAGTGCGGGTAATAGTGGGGTGTCCATGAAAATGCTTACTCCTGATTGGTCCGCACTCCTAGTGAGATGTCGATCGAAGTTATGTTCTAGTTCATTTCTGGCTTTCTTGAGTACTGAATACTACGTTCTGTCTAGCCGTATACCTTCTTCCTTTCTGTCGGCATTGTCGGTATACTTATCATGGATATGACGAGTTTCACAATGGCACGCCCCACTTACTAACTAAAACGTTAGGTACTACTATTATCAGATTTATTACCATCATCATGACATGATTCACTATTTAATAGATCAATAATTCTCACCTATGGCTTATCTGTCCTCCCCTCAATTCACTTTTCAACGTCTTCACTAAGGCTCTACTTTTCACCAGGAAATCTTCATCTTTGAGATAACAGCGGACATTTTTTTCTTGGTCGGATATTAGTCTTAGGAATTTGTCTTGCTGGATAACCAAGTGGACTGTATAAAACATCTGAACGTTTTCGGTTTCACCAGGAACGGAACTTAACCTTACCCCACATCCAGAAGCCGGAAGGCTTATCGTTACTGTGTTTGAAGAACTTCCTGTGAAAAAATATCCAACTATTGAGAGCTGTATGTTGCAGTGACGCAAAAATCCCAGTGACGAAAACCGAACTAGGTTTGTTAATGCTCGCAATAGTTGCAAACTCAGGATAAATGAGAGCAAAGAACTTCACAATCAGACAATTAGGAATAAACTGCTTGCCAATCCCAACTGGTCTAGATCCTTCTGGTCGGTAGCTAAAGCTGTTAATCAGAACTTTACAAAATCCACAATTCCACCACTAACACAAGCGGATGATTAAATTGCAACAACAGCCATGGAAAAGCAAATCTACTAGCTAAACAATTTGCGTCCCACTCCACAGTCAATTTTTTGGGAAAGGCACTACACAATTACTAATCAATAGCGTCTAGTCAGGCGAATATTGGAATTTTGGATATCTCTAGAAGACTTTATCACAAAGCTGGTGTTCCCCAGGGATCCAAATTGTCTCCAACCCTCTGTTTATTGTATATCAACGACTTATTGGATAAAACGAAGAATCCAAAATATTGCTTTGCTGATGACAACACACTTATTTCGTCGTTACATTTGGATTCCAGGATATCGGCTGCGGATCCACATCTTCTCCGCCAGCAGGAGATTGAATATCTTAATGAGGGTATTTTCCAATTGGGGTAAAAGTAACCAGGTTCAATTCAATGCCACAAAAACCCAGGCATCGGTTTTCTCTAAAAAGATACAGTAATGTTAGGACAGACAGTTCCGGTTTCTGCTTTGATAAGTTTGTTAGGGGTTAAAATGTACACCAATATGTCTTGGCACAATCATGTAGCTGGAATTGCAAAGGATGCTTCTCAAAAGCTTGGAACACTGTTCCAAACCAGAAAACTATACACACCTCAGTAATTTTTGATGCTTTATAAAGCTCAGATCAGACCTACTTTGGAGTATTGTTCTCTTGTATGGAGCTCGCATACATGAAGCTGCTGGATTCCATTCAGCAAAACCGGTGATATAAATATTGTTGATGAACATACTCACATATGTATTAAAAAACGATTCGTAGTGACGTCATTAATAATAGGATTTCCCAGAATGGAATGATTCAATTTGTGTCAGATGTCAAACTCAATAACAAAAACAAAATTTTATCTATCCTCAGTTAGCACCGCAGTAATAATTTCCAAGCTTTTTTTTGTACATCCTTACAACACATTTGATAAAAATTTCCAGCACTTTGTGAACTATAACTATCAAAATAAAGCAGAAACTGACAACTGACATAACATAACGTCAAATTCCGTTTCAAAACCAACCTCACCCTAGTTTTGAATCATCATGAATATGTATCAAATCATAGTTGATATGATGTCATCGTTTCAACGCCAGAATGAGTGTATTTGAATCACAGACGAATACGTTCCTTTCGAAGAAGCACTTCAAATCATACAGAAGAAGCTATCCGAAGATGGGGTCCTGAAAGATAGAACAAACTTACCGATACATGTAATCATGGAATTACTAGGATGCTGTGTACGAAACTGCTACTTCCAATTGAAGGACGAATTCTTTACGCCATATGAGGGACTGCCAATGGGATCGCCACTTTCACCGGTTATAGCCAATATATATATGGAGTGGTTTAAAATTCTGGCCATTGAAGAAGCCCACAAGAAGCTCCGAGTTTGGTTCAGATACGTAAACGACACCTTCATAATACGGAACCATGGGAATGCAGTACTAGACACTTTCCTGGAGCACAACGTAAGTCCTTCCATCACTTTCACAATGGTGAAGGAAGTCCGCAACGAATTGCCTTTCTTAGACGTATTGGTGAAGAGAAGCGACACTAAGTAGGAAACATCTGTATACCGAAAAACCACTCACACAGGACAGTATCTGAACCAGAAATCCAACCACCATCAATCGACTTAGAGAGGAATCATCAAGACTCTACTAGACCGTGCGTTCGGGCTCTGTAATACAAAGGAAGGTCTCGAAAAGGAACTAGGCATCATCAAAAATGACCTTCAACGGAATGGTTACTCTAGAGTTATGGTAGAACAGGCTTTAGCTAGAAACCAGCAAGAGCTCCTCCACAAGGAAGAGAAGCCGCCACAACCAGTACTTGTAATTTCCTACATCAGAGGATTATCGGAAAGGATAAGAAGGATTGGGTCCAAGTATAACATCAGGACCTGCTTCAGATCTGGGAACACTATCCGTAGCAGCCTCACGAAAACTGGGCCACCAAACAATAAACACACACAGCGAGGAGAAACCAGCAAATATGGAACAGCAGAGCATGTTTGGACTCATCAACATAACATCAAGTTGGCTCAAGCTGAAATCATCCACAAAGATGAACACTGGTTCAGAAGAAGATTCTAAGAAGCCGCGTATATGTTGTCCAATAACGCATTTAGTCAAGCTAGCGTAGAGATACGTAACGTGTGATTCCTAACGTGTTAGGAATCACACGTTAAAAGGTAAGACCTCGTTAGTTCTTAGCTCGCACAAGTTTCTCAACTTCTGAGAGTTGTCGTTCGTATGGGGGCGGCAGCTGATTAACGGAAAAACAGATTTTTAAACAGATATGGAAACCTTTAATCAAGCGAAAAACGACCAATTCCCGCCAAACGGTCATCTCCTGCTAAAACCAATGAAGCGGAAAGCGGAAAGAGGGGATAGGTGAAAGGTGAAAGCACCCGAATGACCTATAAATAGTCAGATCTCGGAGTCCATTTATCACCCGAAGACGATTGTGGATACTAACAATCGAAATGTCGGGACGTAACTTGGTTTGGAATCTTTTAATTTTAATTTTTCATTTTTTGTTAATAATATTTTTTAATTTTCAGCTTGTATTATTATTTCAATTTTTTTGGGTCGCTGCCTTTTTTGCTTGTATGTTATTTCTTTGTAATTTCAGTTTTTTGTTTAATAAAATTGTTATGTTCGGTTGATTTTTTTCAGGGATTTCAAATCAATTATAGATAATGAAAGTCCGAACTGATGAAATTAATTTTCGATGTTTTACGTTGATTTGTGTTATTACTTTTATACTTGCTTTTGATATCTGAATTTGGTCCTTTTATACCAAAATTATTTTATTTTGTTGGCAATGTAAATTGGATGAAATAAGGGGGTCAATTTTCCTAATTTTCAACATATTTATTCAGGACTTTCGTTCACCTACATAAGAGTACTCTTTCAATCCTAAACTAGTTTCCACTACAACTTTGAGTTGAATTTCTCATGGAAAATAATGAAAACTGATGTCACTGCATCGAGATCGTTTTGCCCACAAGCCACAATGAGGAAAGTATAATACTGTTGGCTTCAACTTTATTCTCAATGGCCCATATTTATGTAAATCGAGAAAAAGTGATAAATCTACAAATCTTCAATTCATTTGAAAAATAATTATTATAACAGCGATAAAAATTTATACTTATTGATACTACCAAAATAAACAATGTATTTGTTTTAAGTTCACAACATGGACACCAGGGTGAGTATCGCTTATTTTGAATTCCCTGTCAGTGCTCACCTATTGTCTTGCATTCCTGAGCGAAGTCCTTTGCAAAAACTAAACCCTTGAAAGGGGACTGCATCGTTAGCGTTACGTTGAAATTGCGGGAATCGCATGTGAATCGTACGTCGGTGATTTTGTTAACGGCCACCTGTAACGGGTACCTCAAGCTTGGGGGAAAGGCTGACCGTAGAGGAAGTACCGACATGGATAGTATGTAGAGCAGGCCTATCTGATTTGGTGTGGACATAATTTCATTGGATCTGCAACACAATACATTCACTCTGTTAAAATCGAAATTGGCAATTTCATTAGAGCGGCGCAGCGCAGGAATGGGATAGCCCAGTGGCGGAGAAGCGATTGTTTCTCAGGAATTTTTTATTTATGACACAGTATAACAAATTCTGAGCTTTTCGTAGAGCGTGAAGGGTGATAATAACAGGTCTTACTGTTCATTCATAGGAAAGGGAGAGTTGATTGATACAAAAATGAAATACTAGTCAAGAGATATGTTTGAGTGTCTATAGATACACGTTAAGAAGCTATTGCAAAGAAAAACACGAGTCACGTCTCTGTAAAACTGTCTAGTGAAAATCTCACAATAAAGTGTTCCTTGAATAGATTTCTATGGGAGGAAATATGGGTTTTTCATCATTGAATTCATTATTTACTAATACAGGGTCTTCCAACAGAGACTTCCAAACTTTGACAATTGATAACGGCTAACGGCCAGTCTGTTTTGCCAAATCAATATTGACGGATAAAGCATTCAACAACACACACGTGCAAATAATAAAACTGTTTTATCAAAATGGGTCTCTTTGGGCAACGTACCCATTTTATGGTCACCATATTCGTCGTACTAGGAGGACTATTCGCAACGTGGTGGATACATTTGAGTCCACTAGATCAGTAAACGATCGACCAACACCCGTACGTCGACGAAACGCAAAATCTGCTGAAAATATCGTCGGTGACATGATGTACAGTTTTTTCAAAAGTTCCTTACATATAGTATTCATTGAGTACCATTGATACAGTTAAAATCGATATAAAATATAACAATATAAAACAATGAATAATAAAATGACTGTATAAAGATTCAGACACATTTGAGCATTCGGAGGAGTGTTCCCTCTGTAATACTGAATAAGTATATCCAGTTCTCAGTTCCTCGCCATTTTGTTAACTGTTTCGAGACATTGTTGAAGAGGAGACAAATTGTTTGAGATACGAAATAGATTATCTCTTCTTCTCAGTCTTACGTCAGGTACAATAAAATCAATAGTGTAGAGAATTTCAGGTACTTTCAGTTTTCTTCCGAGGACTCACGGCGGTCTTTCAATGGTTGTATGTTAAATTTTTGTAATTGGCTAGAATACGATATGAATAAAGGCCAAACATTGTGTTTTCTGAAAAAGAGTGTTCTTAATAATCGTTTCTGGACTTTTCGGAATATAAAAAGGTCTTTGGATTCCAAATGACAAAACCATATTCCAGTTTAGAACCAGCAATGGAGTTAAATAGTAACAAACAAGTATCGTGATTGAATTCACGGCTAGATCTTAAGACAAAGCTCATTTTTCTATAACATTCAGATACTAAGTATTCAATGTGCCGAGAGAAACTGAACACACTAGTAAAAATGATGATTAATGAAATAGTCCTTGATAGTAGGTGCATTTAGCTTCGTTGGGAGATAGGTCAGATACTGAAAAGTAAGTAGATAGATTATTGAGATCATCTTGAAGCTTTCAATTCTTCTAAACAGCTTGAGATCATCGGCATATAAGAGAAATTGAGAATGCCCCATATACCGAGAAATGTCATTAAACAAATAACACGAAAAGGAGAGGTCCCAAAATCGAACCCTGCGGAACTCCCGAAGTAGCGGTGAATTTGAAGGAAGATACGTTGTTGAACTGTACGAATTGTATTCTGTTGGATAGATAGCAGTGAAAGAAATCAAGTGTGTTGTTTGGGAAGCCGAATGCTTTTAATTTCAGGATCAAAACCTCGTGGTTAACTCTGTCGAATGCCTTGGCCAAGTCAGTGTATATAACGTCTATTTGATAGCCATTTTCTATTCCTTTCGTAACAAAGTTACTAAATGCGCATAAATTGGTAATGGTAGATTTATTACGAATAAAGCCATGATGTTGGTCGATTATTACTGAGTCCACGTGATTGTATACTTGATTGTATATTACCCGTTCGAATATCTTCGACAAAGCTGGCAAAAGTGTTATGGGTCTGTAGTTTCTTACATTGTTTTTATTGGTACTTTTGTGTATGGGGGTAACTTTGCCAATTTTGAGAAAGCTTGGAAAACGATTTTCTTTCAGAGAAAGATTGAATATCAATGTCAGTGGTTGCTTCAACAAGTATGAATTTCATCATCAATATGTATTTTTTTAATACGGACCTGTATATTTTTCATATATTTTCGTAGTCATTATAATTACAAATTTGCTGACATATCACAACATATGTATTTCTCGATGTTTCTTCCCGAAACCACATCATCAATATTCTATCATTTAACTTTTTTTATTCAATAAAACCATAACGGAATGCCTCACAATACATTTTTTAGGTTACCGTCTCACGCGATATCGCATCAAATGTTCAAATTGTCTTCCATCATTTCTTAAACAAATACTTGCTCTAGAAATAATGTGCTTGTGGCAGTTCTCTAACATCTGTGGAGTGATAGCGATGCAGGCACTCCTTATTGAATCTTTCAATTCTTCAATATTTTCAAAATTTGTTCTGAATACTTGATCTTTTATGAAGCCCCACAACGAAAAATCTACAAGAGAAAGGTCCGGTGAACGTGGTGGCCATTCAATAGAACCATTATTTCCTATCCACCTTCCTGGATGTGTGGAGCTTCAACGTATTGTGAATACTCATATTTTTTTATGAAACTAAGTGGTAAATCTTCTAATAACTCAATTAGAGTCCCTGGTAAGAAATCCAAGTATAATTCTCCGATCAGAGATGTTTCAAAAAAGTGGGGGCCAATAATTTCATTATCTAGAACACCAAGCCATACGTTAACACCATATCTCTCTTGAAAATTGGTAACTTTATGTAAATATTCATTTTCTTGTCGCCAATGATAATGTATATTCCTGTTGAACCATCCTTCATTGGTAAATGTACTTTCACCACATTTTTTTTTACAAATTTCATTATCTTTGCGAAATTTTCTAATGAGCCATCTACAAAAAACTTTTCTCCTGTTGAAGTCCGTTAAACGCAAATGATGAACTTTCCTGACTTGATAAGGCTTGAATTTATTTTTCCTAAAAATTTTCCGAATTATGAGCAACCTCCCTCAGAGATACTTCCTTATTCTCAATTTTTTTAATTTCCATATATCCTAAATCAAATAAATGTCACTTTATCATTATTGTGAATCTTCTTTGAACTCACCTAAAACACCGATTTCATTATCGCCACCACATTCAGTAACAGTACATTTTTTTTCAGAGGGTTTTTCAAAGGATCCATAATTCCGTAAAGTATTTTCGATTCGTTGAAAATATCTATGATTAGGTTGTCGTCGTTCAGGATACAATTCCTGATACATTGCCAGAGATTTGGTAGCATTCCTCAAACATCTCAAATATACAAAAAGCATATCCACTTTTTCGTCATTGGAAAAATGTTTCTCCCTTAAAATCGCTCAACGATTCATGTATTTCATGGCTTACTTCAAAAAAAGAAATTATCGCTTATCATGTTTCTCGTTAATACAGTATTTTTATTAGTTAATTCTTGTTGATATCCTCATTTTCTGAACAGACATTTTTGGGTAGCTACAAATTTTCAAAAATTTTCAAAAGACATTTGGAAATTATGAATGGCTTGGTATTGATACAAAGATTATTGGTCTCTCTTTTTCAAGACGACCCTGACAGAAATTCAGTTGGATTTCAGTGAATACAAATATTTATAATCTCAATCAACGACATTATCGACAGGAAAACTCTGGATTTCAGTAACATTCGGAAATTCGAGCTCTTAATAAAAAATGATAGTGATGATGTGGTTTCGGAAAGAAACGTCGGGAAATATAGATGTTGTGATATATCAACGAATTTGTAATTATAATGACTACGAAAATGTATAAAACAATATACAGGTCCGTATTTGAAAAACATATTGATTATGGAATTTAATGAACGAAACGTTGCATTGAAAAATGAGTTCACCTAGATTATAAAGCACATGAAATGAAGCAAACAGTTTCTTTGTCATTTGAGCAAAAAAATAAAATCTGTCATTTTCAGTTTTTTGCAAATATCTCACAAACCGTTGATGATTTTATGGATCTGAAAATACCATTGTGTTGCATCCCTGAAAAGGTAACTTGTTCCATTTAACGGTCCTTGTACGACCTACCGTTACCGAGATAGCAATAGTGGTATCAGCTAAAAAAAACGGCCTGTATATATACAGGGTGTCCCATATAAAACTCCGCGGGCAAATATCTAAAAAATGAAAAAGAATACAAGGCTGAATTTCAGAATTTGATGCAGAATTCAAATACCAATTGAAAATACTGGTTTACCATTAAAAAAATGGCGTCGTTGTCGCGACGCCCTAACGGATGACGCCTAGTTCTGAATCTCTACGTAAATAAGAGGACCCTTTGACACCAAAATTGACACCAGTTATCTAGGCACTAGGTTTTTAAGAGTAGTCCATCTGTCCCTTTTGGGAATCACTGCTTCAAAGGATTGAAACAGCATGAGAAATTTGCACAACAATGAAATAATATCAAATTGGAAATATAATTTATTGATAACAGAATAGAAATCACACCACAATTTCATACCAAAATGATACAAGACGAGCAGATTCACTTGCAAGTATTATTTTGTCTCCTACAAGGATTATCTCTATCGCAAGGAGCTTTCTTCACTTCTTTTTCACATTTATCCTTCTTCTTCTTGGGCACTTTCACTTTGCAGGGGTTCTCTTTGCCACAGTCACCAGCTGTTCCTCCAGGTCTGGTGCTGAGTCTTAAAGTTCTTCTATCTGGAATCCGTGCTTTATAAAAATCTTTTCCTTCTGAAACCCATACGCTGCCATTTTCGGCATCTTCTAGCATAGTGAGTAATCCTTTGCCGATCTCCGAAGGGTCTTGTGACGTTAATCTGCGAATACTACGAGCTCCATCTGAAGCGAGATCTTTAAATTCTGGTAGACCATCTTTTCTATTTTTGGTTGTATTTGTAATGCTGGGACACAAGGTCATAACTTTCACCTTGGATCTGTCGTAAAAATACTTATCTCCCATCGATCTGGAGAAACCTATACCGAAATGCTTGGTGCCAGAGTAAATAGGAGAGGCAAAGAAAGGCTGCAGACCCAATATGGAAGAAACATTGATGATGTAACCTCCCTTTCCTCCACTTTGGGCACCCATGTATTTAAATCCTAACAATGTACCTCTTACTAAACCATTGAGGTTGACATACATAGTCTTATCCCATTCTTCGTCTATATCAGCATTGTTGACGACGAAGTCAATTTTGTTGAATTTTTCTTTAACGGTCTTGAATAGTTTTTCCAGATCTGACTTCTTACTGATGTCGCATGTTTGGAAGAACGCTCGTGGTTCTCCGTATTTTTCGTTGAGTTTACACACGGCTTCTTTGCAATCTTCAGTTTTAGCATCTCCAAAAATAACTGCTTTGGTGCCAACATCCAATAGTCCTTCGGCAATGTTATATCCTATTCCTCGTACTCCACCAGTGATGAGTGCTACTTTACAAACGACGGACTTTTTGGAATAGGGGGTTTTCGAAAACAGAGCTGGATGGTGTTTGGTGTTATGGTTGATGGTATTCACTCGGGGAGAGTGGCGACCCACATACTTCAAGGGTATTCGCGATGTGGGTCTGATATTTGAAACTAGAGACATTCTCACGAAAATTTTTAATCATTTCTGACAGGTTGAAATTTGACAGTAGAAATTTGTTGCCTACTTGCGATTTTAGTATTCAATCAATCATTATTACAGGGAGACTCAAAACTAGTAAGGAAACCTCTTTCGGTGAGCATTTTATCAACCAATTTGACGTTGTCAATTACCAATATAGGTTTCTTCAATCTAACCCCACTCATTCATATTTTACATCCAATTCTACGGTCGTTCTATAAGATATTTTGAGCGTCACTATTTTATATTCTAGTTCAAAAACTATAGAAAATTATGAATAGGGTGTCATTTCATTGTTAATTTCACCCACAGTGATTATGATTTGAACAAAGTTGCGTAAACAAATAATTCAAACGTTATAATTAATTTAGTAATGCAAAATGACAGGACTTCCTTTCGCAAATATCTTAAAAATTATTCCCGATAATTAAAATTTCTGAAAAGACCTTTGAAGAGCAGAAAATTTATCAAAGAAGAGTCTCTTCCGAACCGGTAGAATCAATCTTTTTAGTTTCAATAGGCATGATGACAGTAAGTAAGAATCACTAAAATGATGTATTTATTTAATGAAACCCTATTAATAAATTACAAAACAAGCATTTATCATATTATGAAACTACAAAACATGGCCATTAACGCCATTAAGAGCGAATTACGCCACGTTAGAGTAAACAAATAAATATGACATTGTAAAATACAACAAGCACATCGACGCTTCTTTAATTTTCTTTACGACTTAATATTGTTTTCTTTTGTTGTGTTGTTGAATCAAAAGTGAAACAATGTGAGCCATATAACCCTGATTTATAAAGGCAAACAGCGGTAATGAGCCTCGAATCGATTTGTTGATGATGGGAGAGTTTCTGGCATCAAACAAAGACTTTTGTTCGGCAAAATTCAGAAATGTTATAAAACTTTCCTGTAAGTAATAATCTTTCGAAAACAAATGATAAAAATAAGTCCAAAGTCTTTGAAATATATCTACTTGTAGTTTAATATTCGGGGTTATGCTATTGAAATTATATTTCTAAAACAATGACCGTATCACATAGTTATATATTGATTTATTTATAGCGCTGATGCAATAAGTTATGTACAATTAACCGCGAAGGAAATCTGTGCACACTAAAAGGTTGAGAACAAGGGTGAGAAACTTTTGAGATGAAACCCAACCTCAAAAAAGTTTGTTCATTATTGAATTTAATCCTCGACCAATTTATAAACTTAGGTAAAATACTTACAACAAAGTGATCTTCACAAAAGTAAAGCTGAGTACTGGGCAATATTTCCGTTGAATCGCGATCAGTTCCTGAACTGAACACGACGGCGATAACCATCACCGCATTCCCAATTTCTATTTGTCGCTGTAACATGACTTCAAATTTAATTTTATGACTCTTCAGCCATTCATAAAACTCGGTTAGTAAAAATTATCCAATACGAACCACCAATTTTTCAGTCCACGAGGACTATTTCGCAGCTGGTTCATTTCTATGTATTGGTTTTTTTGACCTTTGTTCTTCGTTGAAGAATATATCGGAGTAGAAAATATCGGCTAGCCCAGAGGCTAACAACATCAAATTATTATTCAACAAGAATGTATTTAGAAGCAATAGAAATACGCATAGCTACACCAAGAGAATTACATCAGAAAGAAACAGAGAACGCTGTGAAGGTAGCTTGGTGGGTTGACGTGGGAGGTTTGCTTCACTCACTCAATCCTCTGGTTTGTGAACCGGTGCCGGTGGTTCGAACCGCAAGGTTGGACGATCGATTTTCACTTCCTATCGTCCATCCAGTGTTAGGAATCACACTTTAAAAGGTAAGACCTTGTTGGTCCTTAGCTCGCACAAGTTTAGACTTCTGCGAGTTGTCGATCGAAGGGGGAGGGGTCATCTGATTAACGGAAAAACAGATTTGAACAGAACAGAAAACAGGTCTATCAAAGATCTTGCACACAACGTTGAAAGGCATCAAAATGAGCCAAATCGCGCGGAAAGAACGCGCGAACCCGCCAATATTCAAATGTCATTTGAAAATTGATGGAAAAAAATAAAAACTGCCGGGGATGTGACTTGCCCCAAGATTGAACCCGGGACCTCTGGCATTGTAGCCCAGAGTGCTGAGCACTACTTCAAAAAGCTGCTTGAAAGTTTGTATGACATAAAGATATTTGAGTTTCCAATGACTTCCATTTTGTTATCAAGTAACGAACTGTCGAAAAATATCAATTTTTTCGCTACGTTTCCATGTTTTCATTTTTTTTTTGACAGAAACTATGTTCTGAAAGAAACTGTCATTTGAAATTTTGACGTTTGGGAACAACATATTTTGAAGTAGAAAATTCTCAAAGATCACTTGCTCACTTGTGGCCTCAAGGTAGTGACTTATGAATCTGGTCAATTGTGATTGGTTCAAAGATATGATTATTTTGGCTAGTTGCCAAAAAAAACGGTGAAATGATAGACTATTTTTCTCAAATGTAATGGAAAATCAATTATTGCTTGTGTTTCTCCAGTATACATGAAAGGAATCGCTATGTCTAACCAAAAATTATTGACACTTCTGAAATGTGAGTACGACACGTTGAAGATTGTAAAACACTAGTAGTATCAATGTCAGTCATATTTCCGAAAGGTTCCGGGAAATTTTTGGATATCCTGATATTTGCTTGATATCAGCAACATTTACATAACGTCTCTTATTTTAATTAGATAATTGTTCTCGAAAACAATGTAAATAATCTTGCTATCCCAACATGCTCATATAGCACGTATCGTTTGATCGTGCTGTGCCTGGCTAACGGTACCAGAAAGTAAATATAATTTGGCCGGCGGTCAAGGTCAACCAAACGATTTGCGTTATTCAACTTCTCGTTGTGATTTTCTTTAGGTCACTGTGTAATGTATATCAATTATGTTAGTTCTACAAGCCACGAACATTTCAAATATGGCTAACTGTTTTTGTACGGTTGTTTTTAGGTCTTCGTCATTATGAATTGTAACGATCATATTGTGAGGTAGATGTTGGTAATTGGTATAGTGGCGCAGATGTTTTTATGAGATACTCGCTGTCAGTTTTAATTATTGAAATACTACAATTACAGTTATTATTAAATTTATATTTCGGTTTAAAATGTTATTTAATCGATCAAGACCTTCGAGGTCATTTTCGAACTAGTCGTTTCGACCCATCAACATGACTGAAATTAATATTTTTTCTCCTATGACAACGGATCAACAAAAAATGTAATTGTCACATCTAATAATACAGGATTCTTGAGCCTAAGAATAGACGATGATAACAAACTGCACAATCAGACAAAGATAGATGTTGAATAGAACTTGCCGATACTTGATGAAAATCCATATTGAAAAACTAATTAATACAGGTTATTGTATGATTTTTACTATATAGGGTTTTACAAAAACTGCGACACGTGTTTCGCTATACAATAGCTTCCTCAAATATAAACTGAGAGTTACTTCTAAATCACAACCATGTTATACTCTAACCGATTACCTACTCGTCTGCCTAAATAATGAATCTACCTGAAAAGGTCAGGTATGAATTCATTAAATATATCAATAACTTTTTCGAAAGTAAAATAGTTCATTGTCACAACATAAGTTCTTTGACAAATTTGTCAATCTCATGAACACCATTTTCACAGAACATAAAACTCGTCTATTAGAAAAAGGTCTTAATTACAATATAAAACCCAACATAAATGTGATAAATTTAGAAGTTTTGGGAATTGATACAGATATCGCGTTGATGGGGACATGCTACGCCAATAAACATATTGCAGAAATTTTAAAATCTGAAAAGATGCATAAAGATAGGTTCAATTCGGAATTGAAACTAGTGAAATCCATAAAAGAAAATTCGGCAGAAGATAACATTGTTTTTACGCGAACTGATAAAGGCAAAACGGTCATAGCCATGAACAAAGAAGAATACGTGGAGACGACTTTAGACTTTCTAAATACTGGCATGTACGATAGTCTCAGAAACGACCTCAGCCATTTATATCAGAAAGAAGTCAAGGAAACTTTGAAAAATATTCATTGTGTCATGGATGAAACGTAAAAATTCCGATCGTTAGTCATGAACACACAGCCACCTAAATTGTATTCGTTGACTAAATTACACACAGATAACTACCCCGATAAGACCAGTAGTTTCTTTCGTCACAGCTCCTTCAGTTAAAATATCCGAAAAACTCATTACAATTATTCAAAACCACACCAATTTCAAATGAAAATTCAGTTTGAGGAATTCATACCATTTAATCAATGAAATTCAAGATATTACACTCCCGGATAATGCCAAATTGATTTCATTCGATGTAAAGAATCTGTTTCCCAGTATTCCTCCGAATGAAACGATTACTCTGGTGAAGGATCTATTGGACGAAAACTCTATCAATCCGGTAGTGAAAAATGAAATATTAGACTTGCTTACGGTGTGTTTGTCACAGAATTACATCCAATTTAATGAAACTTTTTACCCATCCTGCAAAGGTCTCATAATGGGAAACCAACTTATTCGTATTCTGGCAGATATTTTCATGGACGATTCAGAGGGAAGAATACACAGTAACCCACTGGTAAGAAGTTTCGTGTATTGGTATAGATATGTGGATGATATCCTAGTACCTATGTTTCACAGGAACGAATAGATAGTTGACTAACTTCTTGAAGTTCATCAATTCTCTCCACCCTTGTATCACATTCACATTGGAAATGGAACAGGACGACTCTATAAATTTTTTGGACTCGACAATAACAAAAGTTAACAACAAACATGATTTTTCAATTTATCGTAAACCGGCGCATACAGATATTATCATTTATAATTCGTCCACTCACCCATATCAGCATAAGGTAGCAGCTTTCAACAGTATGATCCACAGACTAATAAATGTGCCCTTGTCAGAGGCGAATTTCAATGAGGAACTGAATATAATGAAGCAAATAGCCGTCAACAATGATTGCGGTAGCGGCCTAATACATTCTTTATTATCATAAA